ATCATTATACATTTTTGATATCGATAAAATACAATATGCTAGGAAAATCTTGACAGTAACAAAGAAAACAAGTGTGGGAGAGCCATGCTTTGGCACGAATGGGCCGGCTCGACCGGAGTGATACCACGGCCTCACAGACAACAGACGTGAAGCAACGCTTGCGTTGTGTTTCGTCGTGTGAGTGAGGTTACCGGAGGCTCAATTACCCTTCCTTTCACCAATCTCCCCAATTCCTGAATCCCCAACGATCCTCAAACTCCTAATCCCCAAAAGGCCGGTAACGCAATTGTAACGCCTCTGATGATCCAAGTGTCTATTGGTGACGATGATTGCTTACTATCAGGTGATCCAATGGTTTACTGGCCTATTAAAAAAAAAAGAAAATTAGTTACCTTGCATTAACGTCTTTGGAGAATTATAATCGTGGTAGTATTTCTCTTTAAATAATATTTACTAGCTATTAGCCGCGGCTTCGCTCGCGTCACAAAAGGATAAAAAGTAGCCTATATGACATGTACCAATACACACAGCGCCATCTATACCAACAATTTCGTTGTCCGTCGAGGATATCAAATTTTTCCGGGATAAAAAGTACCCTATTATTTAATCCAGACTTCTAACTTTACATCTGCAAAAATTCAAAGCAATGGGTTTAGTACGGCGTGAAAGCGGAACAAACAAACAAACTCACTTTCCGATTTATAATATTAGTAAGGAAATTCTATCAATGTGATTTTCAATGAAACATTATTTTCAACACAGTGCTTTCAAAATGAACTATAACCCACGTGCTCAGTTGACAGTTACCCACACAATCATAAAAGCAAGAAAGGAGTCAATATACTCATCACACAATCAAAAAACAACCTTATAATCTATAAAAACAAGAAACCAAATTGAAAATCCGTAAAACTGCATCAAATTGAGATCCATCCAAAGCGAATGGGGATCGAAAATTAAATTCCAGTTTACCAAGATACGTGTGACACTAAACAAGGGAGTATCGTCTTTATGGTGTTAGTAATACGGTGGTTGTAAAGTGTATGGGTAAGGTTGTAGTCTAAGGTTCTTTATTGGGGATAAGTAGGGTGGAAGACAGACATGCATCCTCGATGTCGTCTCTGCAAATAGGTCAGATGCTGACTTCTACATACGTACGAGTGTTGGACGGGTTTTGGCGTAGGGAAAGGAGATATTAGGGTACAATTATTAATATCGCGCCTTATATCCCCGAAGGGGTAGGTAGAGGAGCACATTATGCCACTGTACAATGTAACACTCACTTTACACTATTTTATGTTAGATGTCCCATTTTAATAGGGGATGAGCCTATTGTCATATACCGGGCACAATTCCAGACTCCGTGCTACTACTGAGAAAAAAAACCCGTAATAATTTGCCCGAGGCGGGAGGGAGTGTCAGACTCTTACTGACTAAAAACCACCCCGTTCCTTCTCCTGCACGTCGAGCCGGAGCCCCGGTTACCCGTTAGGATCACCGCGACTCCGAATCGATCTATATGTATAAGATAACAAAAAGTAATAATTTAAGAAAACAAATAAAGTAAATTTAAAAATAGAATTCAATTAGATATTAACTAGGTTTTGAATTAGACTGCATTGTTGGCCAAGTAGTCGTAAGTGCTAGTGCTGGTCAAGGGGTATCGGGTTCGATACCGTGCTCGGGCGAAGTTTTACTGGGTTTTTAAAAAAAAAATCATTTGTAGCACGGAGTTGGGAATTGTGCCCGGTATATGGCAATTGTTGGCTGAAACTACCTTTGTTTGGCATATCCTTGTCTTAACTAGCGAATACTCACAGCTTCGTGTGCGAGGTCATTGTAAAATATACAACCTATGTCACTCACCAATCTACTAAATATCTAAAGACAAAAAAATGATACGATAAAAACGATCATACCGTCATCACTCGTGAAACAGACAAACAGACACACTTTGACATTCATTTATGTAATACTAGCGGCCCGTCCCGGCTTCGCACGGGGGGACTTAAGATTTTTTACATAGTTTTACGTTTTATTTATATTTAATTTATTCTCAGTTTATTATTTTTGAAATAGTACATAAGTACTTACCTAATAGGTACCTTTTGGATGAATTAATAGTCTTTAGGTAACCGATTGAACAATTCAAAAGTTATCTAGAACCATTCATTTAAACTATTGTTATGGGTAAACTATAAAAGGTAGACATATGCTCTCGCGGACTTTTTTAAAAATAATGTTAAGATGAACAATTCATCCATAGAGCATTTTTGTATAACTTTAACTATATGCTCAGCGCACGCCACGGAAGGCCTCAGAAAATCGTTTCTAAAACGGGGAAAAAGTATCGACTTTTTCCCCGTTTTTAAAACATTTTTGGTTACTGCTCCACAACTATAAGACCTAGCGTGATATTATATAGCCTATGTTACTTCTGAATAATGCAGCTTTCTAATGGTGAAAAATTTATTATTTGAGTTTATTCATTACAAACATACAAAAATACAAAAATACAAAAATACAAATCTTTCCTCTTTATAATATTAGTATAGATATAGATCAACTTTATTTTAACTAGCTACTTCCGCGTGGTTTCACACGCTCTCCTCAGCTCCTATTGGTGGTAGCGTGATGTTTTATAGCCTATGGCCATCCTCGATAAATGCGCTATAGAACACAAAAAGAATTATTCAAATCAGACTTGTAGTTACGGAGATTAGCGCGTTGAAAAAAAAAACAAACTCTTCCGCTTTATATAATAGTATAAGATATAAGGTTAGTGCCTATATACTTAGATCATGTGATATTTTATCTACTAACAAATAGAAAATTGCAAAGTTAAATGCTTTGCGGAGTATCTCCTTCCTTCTCCTCTGTCAACCCTTCAGCAAAAATATCACCGTAATTAATTAATACATATAATAACCCCAGTATTTGCTTGACATCTCTTTTGAATTAAATGAAAAACGAGCATTTCATTTTCAGACCTTCCTTTGTTCAAAACGCTATTCCAAAATGCAACCTATGCAGTTAGACGAAGGTTGGTTTTTCATTGTGTTTTCTGGAGCCGCTGAGAAACTATAATTCGGGGCTGAAATTGATTTATGTAGCGACAGAACCCCTGAAACAATTAGGTTCATGCATTTCAGGAGTTATTCTAAAACTTGTGCAAATGTTTTTGCTTTTTGAATGAATAAAAGGAATCAGTCTGTTTTAATGCATTGTGTTATTAAGTAATGGCTGCTTACATAGTAATATAGAAACTACCTACTTCCGCGCGGTTTCACACGCTCTACTCAGCTCCTATTGGTCGTAGCGTGATGTTTTATAGCCTATAGCCATCCTCGATAAATGCGCTATCCGACACAAAAAGAATTATTCAAATCAGACTTGTAGTTACGGAGATTAGCGCCTTCAAACAAACAAACAAAAAAACAAACTCTTCCGCTTTATATAATAGAGTAAGTAAGTATAAGATATAAGATTAGGTCACCCTGCTCTTCGCGTGGATGTAGTAAAAGTTGACTAACTACTAAATGTCGTGGTGGCCCGGAGATTTAAGAGACCCGCTTCTCATGCATGAGATGTGTGACATCTATTCCCAACTGTTTAATAAAATAGGGTAGTAAGTGATGTATGTGTATGTATATTTTATAACAGGGTATGAAAATTAAAAATGTAATTAGTCCGTCAACTAGATGAGGAAAAAATATTAGACACATTTTTTTATTTTGTCATATAAGAAAACAATACTTAGATAAAACGGAGTTAAGTTTAGGAGTCGGAGGTCGTGTCGTCACACGATATTTCAAATTAATATATCGTCGAAAGTATTTAATTTCATAAGAAAAGAAAAAATACGTGACTAGAGGGACATTAAAATAAAAATTAGGATTAGTATCCTTATCCTTATCAGGAATATTGTTAATTACCTTATAGGGTAGTCCCTATAAGGTAATTAACAATATTCCTAAAGCAGTCCTTATCCTCAACAGGCAATCAAAAAACAACCTAAAACCCATAAAAAATAAGAAACCAAATTGGAAATCCATAAAACTGCATCAAATTAAGATTGTAAAATTGAGAAAGAGAATACATAGTACAAAAATCCCACCACATTTCAAAAGATTGCGTATGTTCCACGCACTTCAGAGATATTACCTATAATATAACACACAGGGAATGTTTGTCTGTCGATCCAATCAACGTAACGTGATCGCAGGGCAAACAGCGCCGGGCCTCGATCAACAGCTTTATAATATGTAGGCACTCATCACTCAAGTGGTATCAACATATCATAGTACATGACGAAAATGTAGTATAAAGGTTTATAAATTAATCTATTTTGCTAGATCCGATACAATACTAGTGCTTGCCGTGGTGGCCAAGAGGTTTAAGACGCCCGCTTCTCATGTATGAGGGTCCGGTTTCGAAACCTACCAAGTACCAATGTGACTTTTTCCGAGTTATATGTACTTTCTAAGATTATTCTTTCTTATATTAAGGACTAAATAGATGTTGGCCATTGTAAAGAGTTCGTTATTTAATTATGTATTTAAACTTGTGAAACTGATGAAGAGTATCACACATCAGCCTTTGATCATATACAACAATGCATTATTGCACAAACATACGCGTAGATGTGACAAATCGATCATCGATTGTGCAATCAATTCCAGAATGATCTCCAATGTATAGACAGTCGCAATACAAGCTACACTAATCTATGAAAAATGCTTAATAGATTTTCTACCATAACATGCTGCAGTTATAAGGACGAAAATGCTTTAAAGACATTTAAACGCCAAGTGTAGGTTGATGTGCCTAGGTATATAATTTCAATGCAAACACGCTTCATTGCACTGAACTCAAGGATGACACATTTTTATGTTTGAATAAAAAACTGACCAATTTTAAGGTCGAGTGGTAGCCCTGGTCTGAAGCCATTTAAACAGTAACAACCAGACTGTTTTAGTTCTTCAACAAAGACGCTCGTGTTGATTTTTTTGGGGAAAATTCTTTGAACAATTTTTGAAAAATGTTGAACATTTTCGGGAACAATTTATTTTTCGTTGTTTTCTTCGTGGGGTTCAGTGCTGCTATTTACATCGCTAAAGGTAAGACTATAGTTTTTATTCAAGTTAGCAAGATTTTATAGGGTTAACGCGGTACCACTCATTTTTGGTTGAGGATCGACTTACTGTGATGACCTCACCAACGAATCGACCATATATGCACACTAGCTACTTCCGCGCGGTTTCACACGCTCTGCTCAGCTCCTATTGGTCGTAGTGTGATGTTTTATAGCCTATAGCCATCCTCGATAAATGCGCTATTTAACACAAAAAGAATTATTCAAATCAGACTTGTAGTTACGGAGATTAGCGCGTTCAAACAAATAAAAAAACAAATTCTTCCGCTTTATATAATAGTATAAGATAAGAAGTCGCGAGATAATCGCGCACAAACATACAAACATACATACATGCAGGCGAAACTGAGAACCTCCTTCGTTTCTGAAATCGGTCAAAAAATTGCGTAATAAGGAATATTCTCAATAAAAATACTTTGTTAACGCCTATATTTATTATAATATGTATCCATGTTTGCAAATGATTAAATGAATATGCATATGAATGAATTCAATTTAATACCTGGAGAATCCTTACTAATATTATAAATCGGAAAGTGAGTTTGTTTGTTTGTTCCGCTTTCACGCCGTAACTACTAAACCGATTGCTTTGAATTTTTGCAGATGTACAGTTAGAAGTCTGGATTAAATAACTTTTTATCCCGGAAAAATTTGATATTCTCGAGGGAAAACGAAATTATTGGTATAGATGGCGCTGTGTATATTAGTATATGTCATATCAGCTACTTTTTATCCTTTTGGGACGCGAGCGAAGCCGCGGGTAAAAGCTAGTCTTACATAAATCTTCTCTACTCCTCTTCATACATTCAACGCAAATGAAAGACCTTACGAACATACTAACTGTAAGACAAATCACAGCAGTACAATAACAAAACGACCAAAGACCATCAAGTTTAATTTCTTAAAAAACACTTAACAAGCTGTTCTGAATCCGTACTGGGATCCAGTGGGTAGGTTCTTCAGTGCAGACTGCAGATTACGGTTGCGACAACCAGCGGCTGCGATGCAGGACCCGCCAGGATATTCTCGTACTAAACCCCTCCTGAAAATTATATAGAAAGGATTGCTATGAAGAAGGAAGAAAGAAAGAAGTGTGGGAAAGCCATGCTTCGGCACCAATGGTCTTCAACGGAGTGATACCACAGAAAACTAATGTGAAACAAAGCTTGCGTTGTGTTCCATCGTGCACGTGAAGTTACCGGAGGTCCAATTACCCCAATTGAGAATCTGAAGCCAAAAGTTCTACCTCATTCATAATGTAGACAGGACAGATCACGCGAAGATCTTTTTTTAAGATTGTAACATCATTCATTGTTTTCTCCTGTCCGGGTGAGGTGAGAGAGAATATCAGGCTCTTACTGACGAAAAACCACCGTTCCTATTCCAATTTTTTTTTATGGCATAAGCCTGTAAACGAGCTGACGCATCACCTGATGGTAAGCGATCGTCGTCGCCCATGGACACCTGGAACACCAGAGGCGTTACAAGTGCGTTACCGGCTTTTTGGGGATTAGGAGTTTGAGGATCGTTGGGGATTCAAGGATTGGGGATATTGGGGAAGGGTAAAACAAAAAATACGTGTCTGATATTTTCGTGCGATCTTAATGACGGACTAATTACTTTTTTGATTTTTTTACCCTGTCGACACGCCTATTACCCAATTGAGGATCTGAAGCCAAAACTTTTAGCTTTCAAAAGGTAGACAAGACAGATCACGTGAAGACCTTTTTTTAAGGTTAACATCATTCATTGTTTTCTCCTGTCCGGATGAGGTGAGAGAGAATATCAGGCTCTTACTGACTAAAAACCACCGTTCCTACTCCTTTTTTTATGGCATAAACCTGTAAACGAGCAGACGAATCACCTGATGGTAAGCAATCGTTGTCGCCCATGGACACCTGGAACACCAGAGGCGTTACAAGTGCGTTACCGGCTTTTTGGAGATTAGGAGTTTGAGGATCGTTGGGGATTCAGGGATTGGGATATTGGGGAAGGGAAGGGTAATTGGGTTTCCGGTAACCTCACTCACACGACTAAACACAACGCAAGCGTTGCTTCACGTCGGTTTTCTGTGAGGCCGTGGTATCACTCCGGTCGAGCCGAATTATGAGTCAGAGCCGCGGTAACTTGTTAGGTTGTCCAGAACACACGTATATCTAGAACCCATACTTGCAAAAGCATCCAGATCTGCAGTGTGTCAGCCGCTTCGCTAGAGTTTTGACTCTTTCCATCCGATCCCTACGCACCCAGCAAGTGTACTCCATTTTAAAGGCACAGGACCTGTGCACCTCGCCGTTAGGACATTCCTTACCTAAAAAAATTGTGTGGTTAAGAATCCCAGAAGATTTGAATTTGTCTCACGTTTGAGTGCTACGATTGACCGGCTTCAATGAACCAACTAATCAGAGCGGCGAACGCAGTTTAGTTTCGATCTCTTTAACGTAAAACTAACTCGATCTAAGGCCTCAGATAATTTTGTTCTTACTTCCATTTCGAAACTTTATTGTATCTGAAATTGTAGCTAGTTCTAAGATATTCGGTTCTTAGCAAAAAAATAGGAAGTCTCCAGCGTCCAGTCCAAGGTTTGATACCTCATGCATTTCCCGTTTCTATCCATGTATATCTGAACGGTTTTGTGTCATAAAAATCCATTTTCCATAGGTCTTTATTTTATAATCCAATCTCGCTATAGAAGGCTTTTGTGTTGAAAGAAATTAATGGAATATTCTACGATCATAACGGATTTTGTGATGGAATCTTACGGTATATCATAAGCAAGTTTTAATAAAGTTATAATCTTTTGTTTATATTTGAGAGCATCGTATAGTTGAATAGAATTTCGTTGCCATTAAAGGTACTGTATAGGTACATGTTCCGAAATAGCATGCTAAACTGCGTTCTAATGATGTTTAAAAATGTTTAAAAATGTTTAAAAATCGAACGCCTGTCTTTTCGCAAGCATGCCTGAAATGAGCATGGTAATTTTGAGCAACATTCTGAAATACCAAGTGCTCAATTGAAGCATGCTTTCGACAGCTTGAAACAGTACTTTTAAACCCATCAGTTCCAGTAACCATTTACAAACTAACATATTTTCACATTTACATTATCGGTTCAAGCTAATCTCAACCATCGGCCCTACAGTTACAGCGTAAAGTCAACTACGAGCAACCTGTTATGGCGAAGAACCTCATTTCATTCATCCTTACTAATATTATAAATTGGAAAGTGAGTTTGTTTGTTTGTTTGTTCCGCTTTCACGCCGTAAAGTTAGAAGTCTGGATTAAATAATAGGGTACTTTTTATCCCGAAAAAAATTGATATTCCCGAGGGAAAGCAAAAGTATTGGTATAGATGGCCCTGTGTGTTTTGGTATATGTCACATAGGCTACGATCCTTTTGTGACGTGAGCGAAGCCGCGGGTAAAAGCTAGTAATACATAATACAATAAGAAGTTACCAAAATATAGGTACTTACGCAACGTAATACTTACTGCGACGTCAAAAATAAATATCAACATTACAGCAACTATTGCAGCTAACTTCATTATCTATCTAAAAAGATATTCCTTGAATAAAATAACAGTCTAAGATCAACACCAAACGTTTCACAATTTGCAATCGACTTGTCCGTAAACTCATCATACGAATGTGTATAAAATTTAATTCATTAACTTATTTTTTGAAACGTTTTGAACATTTTTTATATCGAAATATATTTAATATGTTGCACACAGCACGATGACATCGATTGTCTTTTCAGAGCCATATTGAATTTGATGCCTACGTCAGTTGGTGGTTATACATAACATAACATCACGCCTTTTATCCCCGAAGGGGTAGGAAGAGGTGTACATTATGCCACTGTACAATGTAACGCCCACTTTTCACTATTTATGTTATGAGTCCCATGTAATAGGGGGTGAGCCTATTGCTATATACCGGACACAATTCCAGGTTCCGTGCTACTACTGTGATTTTTTTTTAAAACTCAGTAATGCTTTGCCCGACCCGGGAAGTTATTTCATTGTTCTAAAGCCTGGACTGTTATGACTTACTGCTAATAATGATGATGGCTGAGTTATTAACTGATTAACATGACATTAATGAACAGACACAAAACATCAATAATAGGGTACCTAGTTTCCTAAATTTTATTTTAATGTCCGTCTGGTACATTAATTTATAACTTTAGACACGTAATTTCTCTTTTCTTACAAATTTAAATACTTTCGACGATATATTAATTTGAAATATCGTGTGACGTCACAGCGTGTCATATTTTGTAGCACGTTATGACGTAACGACCTCCTACTCTCAAACTTACCGCCATTTTATTTAAGTATTGCAACTTGATACGAGAAAATAAAAAATACGTGTCTAATATTTTTTCATTATCTAAGTGACGGACTAATTAGATTTTTAATTTTGATACCCAGGAAACTTCCAAATTAGCGAATAGATTGTACATACATACAATGGCTAAACATACGTGACCTTATGTAGTACCTATAGAGTGTACCAAAAAATATGTTTGTTGGGTCGAACACATATAAAGACAATGTGTTTATAGAGACATACAGCGTCAGGTTGAGCACTGGCTTCTTGCATAGGTAACTAACATATATTTTCATCTATTTATCACCTATATAGAATAGAACTGTCTCGTTGGCCGAGTGGTCGCAGGTGTGACTGCTAGGCAAAGGGTCTCGATTTCGATACCCGGGTCGGGCGATATATTACTGGGTTTCTTAAATTCTCAGTAGTAGCACAGAGTCTAAATTTGTGCCCGGTAAATGGCAATGGGCTTACCCCCTATTACATGGGACTCATAACATAAATAGTGAAAAGTGGATGTTACATTGTACAGTGGCATTAAATGCCGTAATATGGACTTCTGCCTTCCCTTTCGCGGATAAAAGGTGTGATGTTATGTTATGTTGCTTTGCGGAAATCCATGCTTCACTAGCAACTGGGAAATTATTTAGTTTTTATTCCGCTGAAGGAATGAATTTGCAGCATGCAGTATGCAGCACCACCCTCTGACCCGCAGATAAACGCTCATGCAACAGAGATGCGGCAAAAAACACACATGAAATCGCTCGAAGCACCCCTAATAAAAAAATATTCTAAGCTAAGTCACCAAGCTAAGAGACTGATCTCTTAATGGAGAGATTCGCCTACAAGTCAAATGACATATAAAAATTTGCTCATGTCAAGAGATCGATTGCAAATACACATACAAAAGAAAGTCACAACAGTTACTAGTGGAATCATAGCAATAACTGAATGAATGTTTCCAATCAGTAAAAAGAATAAAGAACGGTATTGAAAGGTAATTAGTAAATCAAGTGTAATGAAACCAATTAATTTTGCGGCGAACTTTTTATGTGGAAGCAATTGAGAATCGTTTTGTGAACGATTTCCGAGTTATTTTTTGAGCGTCTCTCGCTCGAGTGAGTTTGTTTAAAATGATCAACGACCATTGAATCATTTGGCTAATGATTTCTAACGATTTTTAGATTAATTGGGCTCATAATTGGGGATGATAATTACATTTTTTGGGTGGTATTTGTTTTCAGTTTTGGAGTGTGTTTTTGATGCGAAATGTGTTGGTTCTTAAGCAAAATTGCGACTGCACAGTTGGTGCGGTGGCTGGGTAACCGGATGCTGTGCAACGTGTCGCGGGTTCGGTTCCCGCACGGAACAACACTTTGTGTAATCCACAAAATGATTTTTCGGGTCTGGGTGTCATTGTATATGTGAATTTGTATGTTTGTAAACGCACCTACGACACAGGAGAAAATCCTAATGTTAAAAAAATTAAACATTGCCCCATGTTTGAAAAAAATATTGATTTATGGAATTGGAGTTATTTGAAACAGTCGGCTTTAAATATATATATTTGGTGTCGAATTGTATGTATCTTTTTACTTACCAGTTAGTATGTGCGCTGTTCTACGTCTACAGGAAGCAAAATGCCTAGTTATTGATGTTAAATGTCCTAAAGTTAAACTGGACTTCTGATAGAATATAACCGATTACTCCACTTGCACTGCAGGCAGATGCCTTAGGTTTCAATTATTTTACAATTTTTATTATGTTTCTTCATCATCATCATCATATTGGCCCAAAGACTTCCACTCTTCAACATCCTCCCCGAATGAGGCCCAATTACCCTAGTCCCCGTCTCCCGAATCCCCGAATCGTCCACAATCCTCAAATTCCCAATTCCCAAAAGGCCGGTAACGTACTTGTAACGCCTTGGTGTTTCGAGTGTCCATGGGCGGCGCCGATTGCTTACCATCAGGTGATTCGTCTGCTCGTTTACCGGCTTATGCCATAAAAAATAATTATAAAATTTTCTCATGTTACTTCATCATTATCATATTGCCCCAGACTTCCACTGTTCAACATCCTCCCCGAATAAATTTTATTTATCAATTAACAGAAGAATGTCCACCAAATGAAGAGTATTTACTTTGCGGCTCTGCGTGCCCCTTCAACTGCTCGAACCCTCAGGGGCCAGTCCTCTGTACCGACGCCTGTGCCGAGGGGTGTTACTGCAAGTCCGGGTACCTGAGGAACGATAACGGCACCTGTGTTACTATGGACCAGTGTGTTGGTATGTTTATTTTAGTATTTATTGTTTAAATGTTGTGTTGGGCATGTGTATTGTGTAGTATGATTTGATGCAAGGGTAAGGGAACGCTATTTTTTATATATTTGGTGGGCCGACTTTGACCATTATCTCGCCTGGTGGTCAGCGATGATGCGGTCTACGATGGATTACGTAGTCCCATAAACAACCTATTTTGAGATTTCATAAATTCTTGGGAGTTAAAATGTAAAGGTTACATACATCTCCCTCTTACATACATGGAAAATGGAACTTATAAGTAGCGAAACGTAGATTTGTTACTCATCTTAAGATACTATCTATTACTATAGTTACGTTCACAGTAATATTCTTTATTATATCTATGGTTACGATAAACTGAAAATATATAAATAGTCAGCTGTTTAGGAATTTAATCCTATATTTTTATAATAAGTGCCTACCGTGAGACATAGTAAATTAACTAAAAATTACGGTTTACTCCCGTAAATATAACGAGAAAACCTCTAATGAAATAAGAAAAGACCAAGACTTTTTAAACTGTAGAAAACTATTTATTTTAACATGTACAAAATTAATAAAGCAATATGAAATTGTCAAACGTAGAAAGAAGGGCCTACAAAATTTAATACACATATATGCGTATGTGCGTATTGCTATTGAATTGTATCAGGCGCTGCGCATTGCTGCGTTTCTCCCAACATTCTCTCCTGAACGCAGACGCATCGCTCTGTTGAAAGCTTCATGTTTTGGTCTATGCAGCCCTTTGGTTAAGATGTCCGTAGTCATGTCTTGACTTCTTTGGTATTTTACTAGGACCTTTTTGGCAGCAAGTTGTTTGTTTCAAAACGCAGAGGGACTCTTCCTCATGGCCGGCGATGTCGCGCAGCCGTAGCCAACTCAATAGACTGAGTAGACCAATCTTTAGATAATTTAATCCTACTCGTACGCAACACATTCATAAAAAGGCTATTCCTATTTCTATTCTATGTTATAACTAGTATTTCCTAATATTATCCTAAATTATCCAGGCAAGGACGAGGTCTGCGGCCCTAACGAAGAGTTCCTATCCTGTGGCACAGTGTGCCCACTCACTTGCAAGCAGCCAGAGCCTCTAGTCTGCGGGCTTGCATGCGGGATGGGTTGCTTTTGTAAATCGGGATACGTGCGGGATACCGCTAACGACAAATGCGTGACGCCCGATCAATGTCCTGTTGGTGAGTAATTTGGTATTTTTTTTTATATTAGACTACACCTTGTTGTGAGTTTTACCACATAACATTGATTTTAAGTTGTGAGTTTTGTGTGAGACTTTATCAAACAAGTAAAGAAGCAAGAAGGTCGCATTTCTTAGTTCATATTATACCTTGAAGTCTTGGTTTTCATATCCATGTTGCAGTTATTCGCTCTATCCTATTTTTTGAAGGCATAGTTTTATACCTAATTAATCTGCAATCAATTTGAACCCTTTGAAATATTTTTATTTATAAAACTATCTTTTATACCTTATAGAGCAATGCTTGAATCAAAATGAAGTCTACGATTTATGCAACGCCGCTTGCGATCCATCTTGCGATGATCCAGAGCCGATTTGTACTAGAATCTGCAAGGGAGGCTGCGTGTGCGCGTCGGGACTCCTGCGCAACTCCGCCGGCGAGTGTGTGAGTGTAGACAAATGTGGAAACTACACAGACGGTGCCCTGTCACAATATATGAATGTTATTAATAAGATTCTACATTTGTAAGGTTTAGAGAATAATTAAACGATGCTACTTATATTTTATTTGGTTTTTTTAATGTTTTATTTGACTATACTACTTAACAACTTTTAAAGATCGTTTGGAGGATATTGCTTACGACATTAAGCCCGTTTATATCTAAATATTTATATAAGTTTTACTTAAATAATTTAATAGTCCCTAATCCTTTCCTTTGTATACCCTTTGAATGTAACTAATGACGCCATCTATTGTACAGATGAAAACTTTTACTCGTCTCTGACATTTGAACAGTTTACGTTTGTTAATCATAGATGGCGGTACCATGTCGCTCCATAAAACGAATTTCATGTTATTAAATAAGATGAAGTTTATAATAATTTGCATGTTATACCTATTTTAAAGTTTTATTGAATTTTAATTAAATTAAAATTTGTGACAAAGAATATTATCACGTCCAATTTTTTTACTATGGCCATCTCTATTTGAATTATAGTACTAACTACGGCATTGCTGTTATTATATTGTACTCTTCGTAGCACAGATGTCGCTACTTATTTAATGTAGGAAGGCTCACACAAGATTAATGTGTAAAGAGGTTACTCTGGAACTACTTAACAAATATAAAAATGTTTGACTGCTAACTACTGCGTTAGAAAAAAAAAAACATTGATTGTCACCAAAATGACACTTTCCATCATTTGACAAAAATTCCATATTACTAAGTTGTGGTAAAAATTTTTAGTGTATAATAAACATTTTTTGGTTGACAAAATTTTTATGTACCCACAAATTAATTTAACGTTTAAATGGCCAATAGCAAGGAGGTCAAGAAAAATCAAGAATTCATGCCGAAATGGGTGAATTTCCTAATAGGAGGTGTAAGCGGGTGAATATTCGAGAGGTTCACCGTCGTTTTCAGAGACATTTATGATAACTCAAACTATTTCTTAAAACCGATTTTGTTCCGTTCCGTAAATCACAACTAAGGACTGGGTAACGTAACCATTACCTACTTAAATGACTCTGATTACGGTAACTAGTTTGTAAGGCATCATTCATATTAAGCGTATTGTCCTTTAACCTCACTCACATGGCTAAATATAAGCGTTGATTTATACTGATTTTTATCAAAGTCATAGTCAAACTATTTATTTCAAACTAGCTTTTACCCGCGGCTTCGCTCGCATCACAAAAGGATAAAAAGTAGCCTGTGACATAATAATATACCAATACACACAGCGCCATCTATACCAATACTTTTGTTTTCCCTCGGGGATACCCTATTATTTAATCCGGACTTCTAACTTTACGTCTGCAAAAATTCAAAACAATTGATTTAGTAGTTACGTCGTGATAGCGGAACAAACAAACAAACTCACTTTCCGATTTATAATATTAGTAAGGATAAACCATAATTTGCTACTTTTGAAACGTCAACAAATACAAAATAAATAATAGTCTTTCAGTCTGTCCGTCAGTGAAGCTAAGTGCTCATTCGAATGAAGAAGAATGAGCAGGAAACTATTCGTTATACTCTTTTAAAAAACAATATGTTTTACAATCTATCTGATACATTATCCAATGTTATACGTATCTGTGAGAAAAATGCTGTGAACAATGATGTATTTTTTTTTTTCTTTTATTTTTATTTTTTTATTTTATTCTTTTTGTATATTTTTTTTTGTTTATATTTTTTTTTTAAAATATGATTGAAGTTTCTTCCTTGTTCTTCTCCTTTTGAATCTACATTTTGGAATGAGCACCTAGCTTCACCTAGCTTCACTGACGGACTAACTAACAGACTATTATTTATTTTGTATTTGTAACGTTTCAAAAGTACCAAATTATAGTTGTATTGAAATAAATGCTTTGACTTTTACTTTGATTTTGACGTGCAAGAGTTTGACTCCCTCCCACACTTTGACCGTCGTCACCAACCTAAATTGCTACTATGCTACCAAAGAAGGATGACAAAATAATTTTCAAACATTTTGATTTAGTCCATTCCATACCCACATTTTATACATTTACATACATATGTATGCAGATAGTTTTCTACTGCACAGCATGTTGGCCATATGCGTGGTACAGCCAGCTGATTTACTGAAGACTCGGATGCAACTCCTCGGGCCGACTGGTCAGCATATGTCAGCCTTTGCTGTGGCTAAACAAATACTAAAGAAGGAAGGCATGTTGGGATTCTACACCGGAATATCGGCCGCACTACTTCGTCAGGCTACTTATACGACTGCTCGACTCGGTTTTTTTAAGGTTATGTTCGATATACACGCAATGTGAGTTGCATTGTTTTAATTTGTGAAGAAGACAGATTTTAGAGATAATTAGGTCATTGACTTATTTAAAGCATTCATTGCCCACATGGTTAATGTTGGTGATGCCAATCGCATTCTATCGGTAGATCTAGAAGTTATTGGGAGAGGCATAGTTCATCAGTGAGCAGCTTGCTAATGATATGACGATGATGATGACGATTCAGTCGATCTTGTTACTTTTGTTCCTTTTAAATAAAATACCCTTTTGTAATAAGTATGTTCACAGATGACGCACAATAATCAGGAATAAATTAAAGCTAATATTCCAGTAACCGCGGTGACCCAACGTTTCCAATAAAAATACTGATGGGCATGCTTGCGGGAGGGGCTGGCGCATTGATTGGCAACCCATGCGATGTCGCACTCGTCCGGATGACAGCGGACGGAAGACTACCACCGGAGAAAAGGAGGAACTATAAAAATGTGTTCGATGCTTTAGGCAGGTCAGTAGAGATGGATACGGAATGATTCAGGAAGGGCATATCAGTTAACAACAAGCTTTAACTTTGTTCAGAATAGTACGGGAAGAAGGTCTATTTACGCTGTACAGAGGCGCAGGTGCTACAGTAAGCAGAGCTATGGTATTTAACGGTGCTCAATTAGGCTCTTACTCGCAGGTAAGATATTTATCACATTAAAATTAAATTACAAAATCCTTGCATAATTAAATGTGGCTGGTGATGATTCATTATTATGATAAAGATATATTTATTTGTATAAACATGTGTGGGTAACATTATACATATCAATGCAAATGCAGATGATAAAATAAACACTGTAACGTCTCAACATGTTTTGCCACAATTGGCGTACAAAATAATTATAAAATGTATAAATCTATTAAAGAGACAACTAAAGTTAAAACATATGAATCAATGAACTTATAAATTATCATTTAAAAAATCCTTAATATGGTAATTTTTTAGTTCTTTTTTGAACAAATTATTATTATTTATATTTTTCAAATTATGCGGAATTTTACATAAAATAACATAACATAACATCACGCCTTTTATCCCCGAAGGGGTAGGCAGAGGTGTACATTATGCCACTGTACAATGTAACACATACTTTTCACTATTTATGTTATGAGTCCCATGTAATAGGGGGTGAGCCTATTGCCATATACCGGGCACAATTCCAGACTTCGTGCAGTAGCACTGAGAATTTATAAAAACCCAGTAGTACTTTGCCCGACCCGGGAATCGAACCCGAGACCCCTTGACCGGCAGTCGCACTTGCGACCACTCGGCCAACGAGGCAGTCAGCGTAATTTTATTATATATTAAAGGTGCCATACAAAACACACTTTTACGGAGAAGTGCTGTTTTCGCAGAGTGAGGCTGTGGATAATGTCTATATTTCTTGCGTCAATTTCTAACAATATTATCTGCTAAGAGAGGAAACCAGAGAGGGTTATTTCTTACAAATAAAGCTATTTCCAAGATGTATAGTGACGGAAGTGTCAGTATATGGTACTCCTTAAACAGTGGTTGACAGCTGTCAGTAGTTTTAATCCTGAACATGGCCCGGATACAGCGTTTTTGCATTTTAAATACCATATCCGTGTTGGTCGAGTTTCCCCAAAATATTAGACCGTTAGATACGGTCTAATATTTTGCACCGATTCTATCAGCCTATAATATGCCGTCAATAACGCGTCTCTAATATTTTGCACCGATTCTATCAGCCTATAATATGCCGTCAATAACGCGTCTCTGCTCACTGTTGATGACAGTTTATACATCGCATAAGATAAGCTACTTATTTTTGTACAAAGCTCTTCAGTATGACATTTCCAATTGAGTCTATTGTCAATTTTTAAACCAAGAAATTTGGCTGTTTCTACTTCTTTAATTACATTATTTTTATATATTACGTTAAATTGACTTGAATTTTGAGGTCTTTGACTGTAATTCTTTGCATTTGTTTTATTCATATTAATTTTTAAATTATTATTGTCAAGCCATGTTATTACTGAATTTAGGGACTCATTTATGTCGATTTCAAATAACTTGTTCAATGATGGTACATACAATGTCTTTCTTGGTTCGCTGAATACAGTTTGATTCCAATTTATCGATACCAAGTCTTGGGGAAGGCAGTGGGCGTCTCGTTAGATTTTGTAATTCTAACAGAGAATAATAGAAGAGGAGGCAATGATAATGTAAATCAATTCCGAGAAATTTTAGATAAGAGTAGAAAATCAGTGAGCTTCTCTTGCCCGGGTGAGATGAGAGGGAGTGTCAGGCTCTTACTGACTAAAAATCACTCCGTTCCTACTCAAGCACTTCGAACCGGAGCCCCGGAAACCCGGACTTAACGTCCTCCGTGGCTCCGTATCGGCATCTGCCCTATTGGGCCCCATCTTCGCTGGACTGATGGCTCTTTGAGGAGTGCACGGAACGCAACGCGTCGTACGCTCGGGTCTGGTTCTGTTCGTGCGGCGAGTCACCCGTGCTCCCCGTCCGTAGGCCCATGCTTACGGTGGCCGGAGATCGTCGTGCGATCCCCGACGCTCGGAGTGTCTACCGCGACTGCTGACTGCGACTGCTGGGGGTGATGAGGTTCGTTCCCTCAAATGCCCCGCCTCCGACTTATCTAGCATGACTACTTCGCAGAAAGAGGAGACGGCAATCCAGTCCCCTTCGCTCCGTACCATAGTCTGAACTAGAGTCGGACGCGAGAGTTCGCCGTCGCCCATCACATCCCTGAGGACACGGCGGTGCTCAGCCCACGCAGGGCACACCACCGCTGTATTCTCCACCGTGTCCTCCGGGCGGTCCTCACAGTGATGACACTCGGGTGTTTTCTCCCGCCCAATCCGAAACAGAAATCTACCGAAACTTCCGTGTCCGGTAAACACCTGCGTCAGGCGGTAGGTGAGGACGCCGTAGCGTCTCTAAAGCCACTCCTCAAAGAGGGGACTTACCGCTGTAATTGCAGCGAACCCAGCCCTCGGTTGCGACCGTCGTTGCTGCCATTCCGCCATGAGATCGCGCCGGAGCTCATCCCGCCACGCACCTATCTGGCGCGGCAGCGGGGTTTCACCCCGGCGACGTTTTTTTTGTATACTTAATGGGCCGATGTTTAACCACTATCTCGCCTTGTGGTAATCTATGATGATGTTGATGATTCGAAGATAAATCTTTCGTTGTTTCAGGCACGAGAGATGCTCCTCCCACATATGGGTGAAGGTTTACCTCTACACGCGTTATCTGCTATGATTGCAGGGTTCAACACTACGGTCGCTTCTTTGCCAGTCGATATAGTTAAAACCAGGTACCTACTGATTTTTCCCCATTATAGGTAGTTAGATCTTTCAATTTTCTCTTCTAAGTGTTATAAGTACAACTGACGCAAGATAGAATACAGGGTTTAGTTTTTTCGCTTCTCTCAAGTTATTTTTTTACTTCCATTTTAAATAACGGGTAACTGAAAGTAATGACATCGAAGGCAGACTTCGCAGATACAAACTTATTCTCGATAGTTGCGAATATTCATCGCAAATTTATAAATATTCTATTATTTCAGAGTACAGAATTCGTCGGGTGCAACGAGCCAGGTCCGGGTGCTATTCGATATTATAAAGAAAGAGGGATTTTTTGCTCTCTGGAGTGGGATGATGCCCACCTACATCAGGATTGGACCCATGACTATTCTCATCTTTCTATTCTTGGAACAATTTAACGCGTTATACTTCAAATTGGCCGCGCGGAACTCGTGAATTTTGGTATTTTTTGGTAGATCTATAAATAGGTATACAACACATGTAGTTTAGTAATTTGTCAATTCTACCTGGAATATTTGCGAAAGGGAAATTGCAAAGAGTAGGTACTTAAAAATCTACAAAATTGCCAATTTTCACAACTCCTGTGAAACTTTTCCAGGTAACTCTCATATTTCCTCGTTAATGGTCGAACTAATATAGCAAAACGAAAATCGAATCCATTAGTTCAATTCCACTTATATCTTGCACACCTATGATAAAAATAAAATTGGCGTCAAAAAGCGGTTTTTTTGTGGCAAATAAACATTTTATTTTTCTACATTATCATCACCTTCTAGCTCGATACATTTAGTCCATCGTTTTTTTTTTCTCTCCAAATAATAGGTTTTCTCAAGGCTTTCAAAATACGCAACTCTCAATATATCATTAGACTCAAATCTCTTACCACCCAGCCATTTCTTTAGATTTGGAAACAGACAATAGTCGCAGGGAGCTATATCTGGAGAATATGGGGTGGCAGTTGGCAGGGCAGGGTGACTAAACAAATGTACACACGTGCATTGTCTTGATGAGCACTTTCTTCTTCTTCGCCAAATGCGGCCGTTTTTGCTTCAAGTCAACGTCGAATCTGTCCCAAAGCTTTGAATAATGTTCGCCGGTGATTGTTTTACCTTTCGCGAGGTAATCAATCTTAATGACACCGCGTGCATCCCAAAAACCTGTGGCCATGACCTTGTTGGCTGACAGATTCTGTTTGGCCTTCTTTGATCCACGGTCACCCCGAGCAACCCACTGTTTCGATTGTACCTTGGTCTCTGTCTTATTGTGATGGATCCATGATTCGCCCACATTAACAAGACGGCGCAAAAATTCGTCAGGATTACTGCTGAACATCGCTAAACACTCTTTTGAATTTGTCACACGATTGCGCTTATGGTCGAGTGTGAGCAGTCACTCACGCACTTTCATTATCATTTCATGGATTTTATCGACGATTGATCACTTCTTTTGGACGCCCTGAACGTTCGGCGTCACTAGTGCTGATACGACCACAACGGAACTCTGTAAACCACTTCTGTACCCTTGAAATTGATGGTGACGAGTCCCTGTAGTATTTATCAAGCTTTTCCTTAGTTTCAGTGATGGTTTTTTTACGTGGAAAGTAATGCGTGTATTTTGTGTGCTGATTAACAGCACAAAAAATACACGTTTTTCCATTTTCGTAAAAATTCACGAGATTGTCTGCTTTGAATGGCTATTAAACACCAACTGCATGACGTAGCTTGCTCAAAATTTGACAGTTGCCAACTAATAGATTACATTTGGAATAACACTGTCGCATTTGGAATAACTGCGCGGGAAATTAAAAAAGTCACTGACTTACTAAACCGCCTAAGTGTACCTAGTATGTGGTTTTTTGACATCTTGGGAAAATGAAATAGTGCTAGCTGTTTGCTTTAAGTTGAACTACACTTCTTGTGATAAAATATGTAACCATGAATCTCATATTTGAAAGAAAAAAAGAAAGAAAGAAAAAAAGGAGGAAGAAAAATGTTTATTTGTACCGTACCAAATTAAAAACAAGAAGATAGTAAGTAACACAATAAAAACGGTAACAGTGTGCAAGGCGCAAAAGGCATAGTGCTCAGCTGAAATGCCGTGACCCGAGAGCGATAACTCGAGTCGCGGCGCCGATTATCGTTTCACCTGCTTATAAAGATTTACTTCTTCTTTTACAGAAGAATGTCCTCTAAATTTAGTATGCGGCTTCAACTGCTCGAACCCTCAGGGGCCAGTCCTCTGTACCGACGCCTGCGGAGCGGTGTTACTGGAAGTCTGGGTACCTGAGGGATGATAAGGCACCTGTACTACTATGGATCAGTGTGTTGATAAGTTTATTTTACGTCTCGCTGGTTATTTTATAATACAGGAATCAGACGATTACGACGACGGTAAGCCACCCATGTATGTACATGTACACATACACCACCAGAGAAGTTACAACTTGTTGGTCTTATAGCGATTAGACATTCTGGATCTAATGGGTTTCTATCGGAATAAACCGGAAACCTTTATATTTTTCATAATTATCATATTACTTAGAATATAGGAAATTGAAAGACAATAATAGGTAATCAAAGAATCCCTTGCGTAGCATTTGTACTTGCGACACATTTTTTATTTATCACGTTCTCAACTATTCAGTCTTTCTATGTATGTCCTAAATTTTCCAGGCAAAGATGAGGTCAGCCTAACGAGTTCCTCTTCTGCGGGATATGTGTGCCAATCAGAGACTGGCTACTTGCAAGTAGCCAGTCTCTGATTTGCTCAGCTCAGCTCGCGTTCGCAATGGGTGCTTGCTTCAGCATATCGGGATACGAGCGGGATACCGTTAACTGGGCAGATGGGTTAGAATTTTATGTTATAGTAAGTGAAATAGTTAATTTATATTGCATGTTATATTTTAAATAATTGTGGAGCTAATTACTTGACTTCCAATTAGATCGAAAGTTGTGAAAAAAATGTTCACGTTCTGTAACTGTGTCATCGCCATCTCTATTTCAATTATAGTAACTATGGCATTTCTTTTATTACATTGCGCTTTTCATAACAAAGATGTCGCACCCTTAGAACATTTTTATGTTATGTTTCAGGTACCAAATTAGAAATTGTCTGTCAGTTTGTTCTAGTAAAGTATGATCTCAGTCGTGGTTATGGATATCGTTATAATAAATTATTACGACCCAGTCAGTACCCCAACAGTTTAGGGTAAGATTTTATAATTATCATGGAAATAAAATAAAATAGAACGTTATCTGATACTTATTATATAAAGCGGGAGTTTGTTTTTTTTGTTTGTTTGTTTGAACGCGCTAATCTCCGTAACTGCTGTTCTAATTTCAATAATTCTTTTTGTGTTGGATAGCGCATATATCAAGGATGACTATAAGTTATAAAACATCACGCTATGACCAATAGGAGCTGAGCAGAGCGTGTGAAACCGCGCGGAAGTAGCTAGTATTTTAATAAATTAATAAGGCCTTCTCAGGTCCCCGACGCTTTAATGTTGCCACTTTGTGGTCAGATTTTCTTTTTCCTAAGCAAAACGCATTCGTCAAATAATGTGACGTAGACAAGTAGGCCTTATGCAAAATTATGCAAAAATTGCATGATCGTTTCAGAACCGTTGAAGGCAAATCCTCTGCTAATCGCGTCAGTTAGCGACGACGTTTAAGGTGATAAAGTCCAAGGTGTATATTTCAACCAAGAAGAAACAAAACTAGTATGTTCTTGCTATTTTAAGTGATGTCTATTTAAAAATATATTATTATATTTAATGATTAAATTAAATCTATGTATTATAGCAGTTTGATTCATCATTGCAGCTCGTAACTGATAAAGCTAAGAGAAAAGTAAATGACGTGGGTGTACGACGCCGACGCTAATAGGCTAGTTTCCTTTTATTTTAATGTCCGTCTGGTACATTCATTGAAAACTTTAGACACATATTGTTTGTTTTCTCACAAAATTAAATAATTTCGACGATATATTAATTTTTTTATTTATGTATTTATTTATTAATTTAAAATATCGTGTGACGTTACAGCGTGCCACATTTTGTAGCACGTTATGACGTAACGACTTCCCACTCCTAAACTTAGCGCCATTTTATCTAAGTATTGCAACTTAATACGAGAAAATAAAAAATACGTGTCTAATATTTTTTCATTATCTAACTGACGAACTAATTAGATTTTTAATTTTGATAACCTGGAAACTACCCAATTGACACTGTTCAGAAGTCTGAAGTAATTACGTCTGCAAGTAGACCAGTCAAATTTGATCTACTAAGATCTGTTCTAAAAAATATGGGAAAGGATTCAAAATTAATCAAATTTAATGTCATTGAAATTATTATAATATGTTGATAATATATTTACGTAACAAACATTTCCTTAATTTCTAAGTACAAATTTATTAAGACTTAAAAGAATACGAACGAAAAATTATTCATAAGTAGTACCCTTGGTATCACTTCGCTTAATGTGGATTGCAGACCAAGAGCTAAGCTGAGGCCTTAGTATGAGTTTGATTTCCGTTTAAAGTATTCGAAACGAGTACGCGTTCGGCACTCTGATTGGTCGGCGCCAATGAACCAACCAATCAGAGCGCCGAACGCGTACGCCTCTGAGTTAGTTTAGCTTAGTCCGCGTAGTCGACGCAGTTTTTCATATTTGTCATTACTTGTGTGCAGGCCACAAACTATGCGAAAAGCTTTGGGAGTTATTAAATAGCTATAGGAGCTGTGTTGGCTGTGCGAACTAAATTGCGAATGAAATTATGCATAAGTCTTACCGATTTATCAACAGAAAAATTAGATTATAATATTATGGTAAAAAGTGAAGCGAATTAACAGGGAACCATCTTTGTCTTAATATTATAACAAACACATAATTAAAGATAATAATGTAACTATACTAAATCCAGTGGTTTGTAGCATTGTCCCTTTATTTGTCGGTCGTGGAAGCGTGATGATGTTAGCCATCTGAAATAAATAATTAAAAATATTTTAGTTTAGCGCCATCTATACTTGACTACCGAGATTACCACAGGGTTTCATTCCAATGCGTAGCATTCGATGCATGTTTAGACCAATAGATGGCATTATTTTTAAGTTCAATTGTTTTTTGGATACGTTACCTTGATTGGCAACTTATTCACCAAATTTTGAAATAGTAATAGATTGACCAGAGATTGGTAATAATGATACTGTCCAAAAGATGAACTTGTTTTCAATGAATCGGTATTTGTCGACAGTCATAATTTGGTTCTTTTACAACATTATTTTAATTCATCACCTTATTCACCCACTTCACATTCTGGGTCAAATAAATAACATTAAAAAACTTCACTATTACTTCATTACTAACCTAATTTAAGTTAAACGAGGCTAACATCACCTTTTTATACTCGTCTTCTCGAATCCCGTAAGTCAGATATGAGTATGAGAGGAAATCTGTATGGTTGGAGACCAGCTGGAAGATCATGGTTTTGGATCCAGTTTGACCTTGGATGACTTTTAAATCCACTTTCCCTCCGAAGTCAACTGTTGCTGTCACTTGCAGGTATGTGATCACGAAGCCTTTCTGTGGAATTTTAAGGATTTCTCAGTGGTTATGACTTTCCTGAGACATACTGAATTAATTATTGTTTTTCGGCTTTTTTAAGGGGGAAAATCATCGAATGACTGCTCCCGCCTGGGTGAGGAGGAAGGGAATGTTTTTCGGCTTACGTAATTATTTGACGAGGACAGTAGACGAGTTCTACTAATGTCGTGCCACTACTGCCGAAACTAGTCGAGTTCCTCGTCAAATAATTACGTGTGTACGCGAATTCTTAAAAGATTGCTACTTGGTCTACTCTACATCAAGCGTGCCGTGTAGTTCAATTTCTAAATTATAGTACCAGATATACAAATTCGCAATGCCTTAGGTACCTATAATTCTAAATACGAAAGCATGCTTCAATTGAGTTGTCACTAAGCAGCGTGTGTGTCGGAATATTGTTCAAAATTATTAGCATGCTCGTTCGAGGTATGTAAATGAATCGACAGGCGTTCGATTTTTGAACATGTGGCGTCCCACTATCAGTATTAAGACGAGAATATTAGTTTTGTCTATGGTCGCCATTGATAATCTATGGTATATGTTTCACTCTCTGACATATTAAGCCGTTACACATTTGATGGACAAGTCGAATATAAGTTTTGCCATTAAACTAACACGAGTTTTATTTAAAAGTTTGCCTCTAAATTACTCGGCGCACAACGCCAAAAACATTTTTGAGCATGCTTAATATAACGTCTTTTAGCATGCTATTTTAAAGCATATGTATTGGTCATGGGTACCAGTAATATAGCTGTATACAAATATGTGTGGATAGTCTTCATCGTAGCTAAATGACATACATGGTCCTATGACCAAAGACTTCGCAATAAACAAACAATGTGTCAAGATCAAAGATAGGGACTATGGTGACCTTCGATACTGACCTTGGATTCGGCATGAATGGTGACGAAGAAAGGGTCATAGTTGTTCCTGTGCCGATATCTGTCTGAACCACCTTTCATTGGTAGGGAATCTGGGGAGAAAATACCAAAAAATATATATATATAGATATACAAAAATTGTCGTGGTGGTCCGGAGGTTTAGTGGCTACTGATGAACTATACCTCTAGATTGTGTTACTATCAATCTCATTTACATAGTTGATTGGATATTAGGGACAGAATTTTAAAATAATTAACAAGTAACTTATCTAATTTAAATTTAAATGCTAGTAAACGATAGTGGGTACCAGAATTCTGCTAGTAAGGTATGGTTACTGAACCTGACTGTTTCAATTTTATAATAGGTACTCTAATGTACAAAGGGAAATATGCCAATACAAAGAATGACAGCATTACCTATTTATTTCATTGGATGGGTGTTATTTAAATACCTATCATTTAAATACCGGTCGGAAACTAAGGGGTTTTTAAGGGGTACAAATCATCGAATGACTTCTCCCGCCTGAGAAGTGTGGCGAAGAAGTAAGGCGGAAGGGAGTGACTCTTACTGACCACCCCGTTCCTACTCCTGCACTTAGAGCCGGAGCCCCGGTAACCCGTTAGGTTCTCCGCGACAAAAAGAACAGCATCAATGCTCGAAGGGATCGAACCTGCGATCCGTCATCGTATATCTCATGCGATAACCATTACGCCAAGCCTGCAACTAAGGTCGGAAACTATGCCTTGGGTTTTTATATAATCTTTTTAAATCTGATGAAACATTTTGGTTTTAAAAGAAACTTAATTTCCAAAACTGTGCTACTTTTTTCCTTCAAGCTTTAGGGATTTGTCGTTTCTGGTAACCACGCAGACGGAAAATCGTTGTCTCCTATAGGTTTCTGTAAGGCACGGCTTTACGACGTACGACCGCTTTAGCTTAGCTGACCCTTTCATATCGTATACCTCCCACACGTTCACAATAATTATTATAATATACTTAGTTGATTGCAACAGATTGGCATAGCGTAATATATAAACTACTAGCAAACCCGGCGAACTCCGTTTCGCCACCAGATGGCTTCGTTTTATGTAACTTTCTTTACTATAAACCTCACGGAGCTCGAGACCTTTCCAACGAATGCAAAACCGTGGGAATCGGTTCGTGCGTTCTGTAGTGTTAGCGTCAGGAAGGAAAATCCGACTTATTTATAAATATAGTAGATTACTCACTTTCATATTCAATCCCAACCTTGAATTTCTTCGTTTCTAACCAATTTGGGAAGCACAGCACAGAAGTCACTGCAAGCAACAGAATAAACCAGTTTTGCAACATTTTGACTAACGAAAACTGACGGTGCACGATTGACTACTGAATCATCTGATCAAGCTGACAGGCCATTGAGATTTATCATCGATAAGGGAGATTACACGAAATATTTTGACCGTCTCAGTTTTTTTCGGAGATAAGGCGGTTTCATACAAAATTATTTTAAGTTTATTTTATAACTTTTTACTTAAGTGTGGGAGAGCCATGCTTCGGCACGAATGGGCCGGCTCGACCGGAGTGATACCACGGCCTCACAGAAAACAGACGTGAAACAACGCTTGCGTTGTTTCGTCGTGTGAGTGAGGTTACCGGAGGCCTAATTAACCCCTTTCCCAGTTTTCCCAATCCCCGAATCCCCCACGATCCTCAAACTCCTAATTCCCAAAAGGCCGGTAACGCACTTGTAACGCCTCTGGTGTTTCGGGTGTCCATGTGCGACGGCAATTGCTTACCATCAGCTGATACGTCTGCTCGTTTACCGGCTTATTCTATAAAAAATTACTTTCGTAAAATACTAAATTAATTATTATGTTTTCAGATTTCTCACGTAACTGTGTGACGACTCGACAAGTTTCAAGCCATGCTAGAGGTTCATATTCATGAGCAGTATTCCGTGAGTGAAACTAGTCGAGTTACTTGTCAAATAGTTACGTATTAATTTAAAATTGTTTAACTTGAAGTTGAAAGACCGTTGTAATTTTTTTATGGTTGAGTTGCTAGGTTTGCTGGTTTCGGTTGCCAGATTATGCGAAACATAGTTGATTTTACGTAATTTTAAACAAACTTCAGTGATAGCACGGGACGTGGGATCATAGTGTGAAGAAAGGTCTCTTCTTGTTATGATGAAATGTAGGTACTGCAAATATATATATCTGACTGCTCCTTCAGAAAAAAGGCGATATTATAAAATTGTGGTTAGATCATAACAGCACAAAATTCCTTATGTTTCTTCAACGCTCATATGTCGAGATTACCTCAACTCCAATCCCATACCTCCCTATTATAACAAAGGTACTTGGCAGAAACGGGTTTGTATATATTAATAGTATTTGCATTAATTATGCCACGGGTCTGCTCATATTAGGCGACTAAATTATATTTGCATTTAACAATAAATGAAAACCGGGAAGTCGGTTTCATAATTTTCTCGTTGCCGTCAGTAGAACAATTTTCATATGAAATGGTTATTCAAATATTAGGAAATGTTTTGTCTGTTATTTCTTGGAGATGTAGGCGTATGTACCTACTTTTATTATATAGTCAAATATTTCACAGTTACTGTTACTTTGTTAAACTCAAGTCGCCATAAGGGGCGAGCTGATAGAATATAATATTAATCCCTTGCAATATTTTTTCATTCACCTTCTTCACATAGGTAGGTACTAGAAACCAACACTGAGTTTTACCTCCATCAAAACCTAAATAACATTTAAAAGGTTAAATGATTGATATTTTACTTAGACAACCTGCCATATTCTTCACTCTAGAATACCAAATTTCCAGTTAGATAGGTATATTTTCAGATTTTTTGCAGACTAACCAGAATGACCTCAAATTCTCAATTCCTAAAAGGTCGGTAACGAACTTGTAACGCCGCTGATGTTTCAGGGGTCCATGGGCGGCGCCGATTGCTTACCACCAGGTGCTTGTTTACTGGCTTGTGCCATAAAATAATGGTTGTCAGAGATTTCCGAAAAAATATGTTACTGGAATTTCTTGATATCACATATAATGTTAAAATAAAATTCCCTAGGTTATAAAATCAACATTGTTTATAAAATATCTAGTTTCATAATAGAACAAAAAAAAATATTGATGATTTACCTACTTAACTCTTTTTTTTTAAAGTGGGAAAATCATCAAATGTCTTCTGCCGCTTGGGTTAGGCGGGAGGGAGTGTCAGACTCTTACTGACTAAAAACCACCCCGTTCCGTCGCCTGCACTTCGAGCCGGAGCCCCGGTAACCCGTTAGGTTCTCCGCGACTCTCATCCCGTAGATGATCTAACTCTGAGTAACAGTAATGGCAATAGAAGAAAGGTTTATTCAACAAAAACAAAGAACAAACCCCATATTTAATGGGACTTTGTCCCATGTAAAAAAGGTTTACACATAATACAAACATAAAGAAGTTAGGAAATAATTTCAGCTATGTCGTTTAGGAAGTATTTATTCTGCTAGCTGGATAAGCAAGAATTATATATAGGATGAAAGTTTTTGACGATAATGTACCAAACGAGTTGAGATTTAGCGGGCAAAGTTGGACTGTTATAATGTGTTTGGTTGTAAAATACCTAAATGTATTTGTTCGTGGTTATTACTTGTAGAAGGGAATAATATAATTCCTAAAAGTACCAGGTACAAGTACGTATATAGGTAAAGTACTTGAAGAACGTACATATTCCTATCTTTGTAAATCTGTAGTTCCATTACAATAAAACAATCACTTTATAATATTTTATTTTATTTTTTCACCTCGACCCGAAGACTGACCCAATCTAAGACAAATACATTCATGCAATTAATAATAACAATAACTTAACAATAAATGAAACATTATTATTCGAAACCAAAAACATTGAAACCTCAAATTAACTAACTAACAAAGAAATATTGGTTGCCAGGACAAACGTATTGACGGTCTGACGAATCTCGAACAAAAAGTGGCAATTATGCACTAGACATGTCTTTTATACCGATCTAAATTTTCTTCTACCTCCAAAGATTCCTAACCATATAATTAATTATTATGTTTTCGGCTTACTCACGTAGGTAACTGTTTGACGAAGAACTCGACTAGTTTCAAGCCATGCTAGAGGCTCATATTCATGAGCAGCATTCCGCGACCCGCGACGCGGCGACTGTCGCGCTGCTACTGTCAGTAGAATATGAGCCTCTAGTATGGCTTGAAACTAGTCGAGTTCCTTGTCACACACTTACGTGAGTAATCCGAAAACATAATAAACAATTTAGTATGTCTCACGAAAGTTATAATATGTACAATATAATTATCTATTTAACAGAACTACCTCATCATGAAGTGCCTATAAATGCTCACTGTTGAGCAAAGCCTCTTCTCACACGGAGAAGGTTTGAGCATTAATCACCACGCATGCTCAATGTGGGTTGGCCACTACAAACTTGTAATTAGAAATTACAAGTCCAGGTTTCCTCACGATTTTTTCCTTTACCGTTTGTCAGTGGTGTCTAGATAATCTTAGACAGTACATATAACTCGGAAAAAGTCACATTGGTACTTGCCGTTGGTAGGTATATATATATAACCTATCCCCTCATGCATGAGAAGTCTTCAACCTCCGGGCCACCACGACATTTTTTTTTCACTGAACACATATTATAATTAATTAATTAAAATAACAATATACTGGTCAATATTTTTATACCAAAATGTATTTATCATTTGTATGAAATCTCACGAAAATCTTATCAATACCAACGGATGCAGCATTGAAAAGTTAGTTTCGTAATCGAACGAAATATAGTTATCTTTGCAAGGAGCGTATCTTAGTTTTTAACCTACATAAATGTATTGATAACTTTGAATTCATATCTGTGGAAAACAAACATTGACAAAAAAAAGAAAATCAATTGGAATTTTACCTTCGGAACATGCACCTGTGAGATTTTGCAACAACGTTAATACCCCGTGACATGCCTCTGCTGGACCTGCTCTGCACAAGAAGGTTTGTTATTATCTTCAAGACTAGCTACTTCCGCGCGGTTGCACCCGCTGCGCTCTGCTCGGCTCCTAATGATCGTAGCGTGATGTTTTGTAGCCTATAACCTTCCTCGATAAATGTACTATCCAACACAAAAATAATTATTGAAATCGGACTGGTAGTTTCGGAGATTAGCGAGCGCGTTCAAACAAAAAAAAAATAACAAACTCTTCAGCATTACCTGTAATATCGTATATAAAGATTAGTAATATTAGTAATTAGTATTATTATAGATTAGCAGGTGGTATGGAGACTCAAGTGTGTCAGAAACAGCTGCTGCCTAGTCTCCGTCTAATTTCACATAATAACATAACATAACATCACGCCTTTTATCCCCGTACAGGCAGAGGTGTACATTACGGCATTTAATGCCACTGTACAAT